CTTACACATGACTGTATATCATTTATTGTTACACAGCTTAAATTCTTATATTTGTATTTGCTCCATTCAACTTCTGTAACTCAAATAAACTGTTGACTTTATCAGATGGCAACTCCTCTTTTCATACATAGAAGATTGTACGAAACAATTTACTGTCATCATTTGATACATAGATTGAATTATTTTCTTTGTCAATATCTCTGTCATACATTTTACTCTTGTCTCCATATTCTTTCAGGAAACCTTCCTCGGCCTGCTGGTGTTCAGAAGACAGCCCATGCCTCTTAATACTATTCTTCTGAATATTAGGTGATCCCTCATTCACCCATATGCTTCTCACTTTTCTCTCTATACAAATGTTGCATTCAGTCTCTTATCTACCCCTTCACCAACTACCACTAACCAAGAATTTTGTCTTCCAAGACTGAATTGGCTTTTCAGAAATGGTAGTTTCAGAGTGTTTCTTCGCTATTTGATTGCCAAGTTCAGTGCAAGAAATGATATCATATACGATTTTGCGAACGATCTTTGCACTATCTTCAATTTTATCATCTTGAGTGAAATATTTGTAAAGCGAGCTCATATTTGTTGCATAATCTTCTTAAATCATCCTGGTACACCCCAAACTGTTTATGAGATTTCATTTTTGTCATCTGTGCATCATGAGTGCTTGATAAAGTCGATAAAAATCAATAAGTTTTTGCCGACTCGAATTGCGTCAGATTGACTGGTTGTGATAAAATTGAAGCGACATGTCATATTTACCTGGATAGCAGGAAATCAGTCATGTATGCTCGATTAGCTTACATAATTTATTCCAGATAAAGACAGTGAATCCATACCGGCCAGTTTCCAAAGTATTTTTGTACTCCTAGATCTTATTTTTAGTACATTTTTGAGGAAAAATATGCGTGAATACGCAATATGCACCCATATCTAGAGCTCTGTATATAGATGGTGAAACGAGTGTGGACTTGGTGTGTGTAGATTTTCTAAAAGTTTTTCTTATTAGGTGCAACATAGAATATTAGGTAAGAAAATTACATCTTTGGAGGTTTGGGGAAAGACTTTGTTGTTAAATTGTAAGGTAGGTGTGTGAGAGAAAGCAAAAAATTACTGAGTTCAGTCAAAGTGGTCCTTTGATTACTCAGGAGTTACTGCTAGGGTGTTCTAATAAATTTTCATTTATAGGATCAATAGGGGCATAATTAATATATTTACTGATGATATTAAGTTCTTGGATATTTCGATTGAGGATGTAGAGGAATTACTTGAATCAGTTGAACAAATAGTTGACATTCAACATTTAATTTATGAGGTACAGGGTAATACATTTGGGTTATGATATTTTGGATCATATGTTTAATGTACATAGAAACCCACCTGATTGGGTGACAAGGAAACAAATCTTGGCGTAGTAGTTAATGGTTAAGGCACTCAAGCCATCAAAGGAGTGCTCTGTTGCTAGGAGTAAAATTAGTAAGGTTTTAGGATATATTTACAACATATTATAATCACAAGAAAAAAGAGGTAATTATCTATATACAAATCACTGGAAAGGCCTATATTATAATATTTTGTATAGTTTTGATCTCCTTATCTAAAAATTATAAGCTATTGGAAAAAGTGCAGAAGAGGTTTGAGGGCTACTAGGATGATTCCAGGGATAGAAGTATTGTGTGAATAAGCTAGGATCTCTTAGTAATGTTTTTATTAGAAAAGAGAGGTAGGTAAGAGGTGATCTTATAAAAGCTTACAAAGTTATCTTTAGGATTAATAGGATAAAGGCTTCTGGTTTCTTTGTGCAGAATTATAAATACAATAGGATGAGAGGATATAAGTTTAATGTTTGGAAAAGACAGGCTAGATTCCAGTTAAGAAAGTTTTATTTTTTCTAACTGGGTGATTAATTTATAGAATGTGTTATCAGCAGTAGAGGAGGTCTGCTCCATAAAAAAGTAAGAGGGAAGTTTATATCCTGAGAAATAAAGGGTGGGCTTACTTTTTACTTTTTTAGGGGTGGGATGTAAGGACAGCTTTCAAGGACCAAAAGGTGCCTTTTTTGCTCATTACTGCTGATAGCCATTTGTTCCATTAATCAATCCTTTCTTAAAATTGTGTAAAGTGTTGGCCTTCACTACTGCTGTTGGCCATTTGTTCCATTAATCAATCGTTTCTTAAAATTATGTAAAGTGTTGGCCTTCACTACTGCTGTTGGCCATTTGTTCCATTAATCAGTCGTTTCTTAAAATTGTGTAAAGTGTTGGCCTTCACTACTGCTGTTGGTCATTTGTTCCATTAATCAATCCTTTCGTAAAATTGTGTAAAGTGTTAGCCTTCACTGCTGCTGTTGG